GTTTAGCCTGCAGAAGAGAAGGTTGAGAGGAGACATGACAGACTTGTTTAAATATCTGAAAGAATGTCATAAGGAAGGAGAAGGCTTGTTTTTTGTAGCCTTGGAAACAAGGACTTGGAGGAACATGGTTCCAATGACATGAAAGGAGATGCCACCTGAACATTGGGAAGAATTTGCTGACCACAAAAGGCATTCAACAGTGGAACTCCCTGTCTCTAAGTAAGGCGGAAGCTTCTTCTTTGGAGCCTTTTAAACAGAGGCTGGATAGTTGTCTGTCAGGGGTACTTAGTGCTTTTCCTGCAGGGGATTAGACTTGATAGTCCATGTGGTCTCTTCTAACTCTGAGATTCTATGATTCTGTGAAATTTCAATAATCTACATTAGGACATGGAATTAGTAAATATCATAATTGTCATTCATAACTAAATATAAGAACAGCTTTTTCCCTCTTCAATAAATACATGCCAGAAAATAACTTTTTATGATAATACTTCAGCATTCACTCTTCAATACTATTACAAGACATCTGAACCTGAAGTTTGATAGCTATGAAATAAGGATATTACCCAAGAAATTATTATAGAATGTCATTGCATTTTTTATAATCCATGAAGAATCCTCATACACACTTTTTCAAGATAATAGCACTACAAACTTCATAGCATACCAAATTACATTTTGGTTGCTATGTTTTAAATAGATATAAAACATGTCTTTAAAAAAAGAACACATAGCACTTCTACAGAAATCCAACATTTATTGGACAGAAGAAAAAGAACAACTGAATAAGAGGTAACTTTGAAACAAATTAACACATTTTACTTTATCCTCACAATATAATGGAATGATCTGTGTGTAATTCCGTCAGAATGAAATGGCTATCTTTTACTTGGTTATACTACAAAGTAGTTGTAGTCCAGTTAATTATGCCCTGAAAGACTCTTTCAAAACCTGAAGCATTTATTCCCCCTTAACCAGTTTAAAAAATATTCTAATTCTCCAAGAGATATGTCCACTCAGCCTTACTTTTATTTATTAAACTCTTTCATGACATCAGAATTGTTTTTCTTGGGACAACAGAACTATAATATAGATTCAACATATCCAGACCCTGAGGGCTTCAAGTAAGCATGAGATACTGATCTACATACAAATGTGGCATTTGTTAAATTGAAAACTTTATGGAATAGCCAATGAAATCTGTACATTCCTATATGAGACCCCGTGCTATAAAAATAATATTGGTATCAAACCCCATGAAAACTGAAATATATAGACATTCATTTAAAACCCTGAAGTATTCTGAACCCCATTAACAATAGAATTGGGCCAAACTTCTCATACAGAACCCCCATGACCAAAATACTGTGTTTTCTGGTTGTCTTTGGCAACCCCTCTGACACCCCCTTGTGACCTCCCCAGGGGTCCTGACCCCCAGACTGAGAAATGCTGTTGCAAAGCCATCCAGTCCAACTCCCTTCACCAGAGCAAGAAAACATAATCAAAGCCGTCCTGACAAAGAGCCATCCAGCCATAGATATAGATATATATGATTCACACACACACATATGTATATGACAGATATAATATCATAGATTTGAAAGGGACCCCTAAAGAAGGACAATTATATGTTGCATGTTCCAGAGTAGGCAAACCAGACAATCTCCACATCAACACTGACAAAGAACAACAAGAAATACTGTTTACACACAAGCATAAAGGGATTACATATCTGTGGGGGGGGGGGGGGGGGGGGGGGACGAAGCAGTTCTCCATTGAAGCCTGGTGCAGAGTGAATATACCTTATTCTAAATGCTTGGAATCAGAAGTGTTTGGGACTTTGAAATACACCAAGCAATATGTAATTTGTGTTTTCCAGAAAAATTGCTGCATTAATCTAAATTCATCCTAATCCTATAGTCCATTTACACCAAACTTTCTATTATGCAGTGAGAGCCTCAAAACATCTCAAAGGCTTGCCAAGGCTTATAAGTACAGAAGACAACAGATACTTTAAACAAGACTCAGAGCACCTGGTCTGAAGAGCTACAGCAAACCTGCCATATTTACAAGCATAAGACAATTTTATTGACTGGTCTCATTCATGATTCACAATCAATTGTTCTGCCTTATTCTGTGGATATACATAAATATAGCTATAAAAGCAATCATGATGCTTAGAGAACACAAGAGTGATTAAGCAACTGGTGTGCTATGACAGCTGTTTCTCTTGTTCTGTACTGTCGTGTTGTCCCCTTACGTTTCTATCAACCGTTTGTCTCACCCATCTGTTCCTTTTTATTTTAGGCTTGATTTCAAAATTTTCTGGACAAGGACTGGGTGGGGTAGGGTAGTTCCAAGCCTACATTATCACCTTCAAAAGCAGACATCTTCCATTTCGTTAGCATATGCAAAGTAATTAAGGCTGCATTTAGCCATCATATGCAGTGACTTCTTCCATTATAGGATGTTCACATTTTAGAAGTACACATATGAAATTAGACATAAAAGCCATCTAACCCTCCCCAACAATGCAACATTGCAGGACCAACTGAAAACAAGGAAAATGCCAGTTCATAAAACATGGTTGGTTGTATCCAGATTTAGAATGAAGTCATTTCCATCAATAAGACTCATTAGCCATTACTACCATTAAAGACACTTTAATTTCAAGAATTTTATTATAATTATGATTAAGTCTAAATACAAGTAAATAACATTCCCACATTTCTAACATAAGCCAACCATTATGAGAAGATAATACAGTGGACCCTTGGTACTCACTAGGCTTTGGTTGTAGGACCCACAGTTCCACTACATACAACAATGTAGTAAAATGGGATCCCTTGTATAAAATAAAATTACTTTGGTTTTTGAATATTCATTGCCCGCCTCTTTATCATTAAAACATATAATACATACAATAAAATAATACATTAGAACACATTTCTATAAAATACATATAATAAAATACATGATACAAATATTAAAATACAGTAATGGTAGAATGTAAATTGACTGGGTAGGCATGCCAGAAGAGATGGGTCTTCAGTTCTGCCTTGAATGCTGTCAGAGCTTTTCTGGCAGGTCATTCCAAAGACTTGGAGCAGCCAATGAAAAGGTCCTCTGGGTGACTGTTCCCAGTCAGGTTCTGGATGGTTGGCGTTACCATCTCCCAGAAGACCTCAGTGTATGAGGCAGATTATACAGGAGAAGGCAATCCTGTAGAAACCTGGACCCAAACAACTAAGGGCCTTAAAGGTTATACTGAATCTGTCTATAAGGAGGGTGAACTGCATAGGGTAAGTAATTGCGAAAATCCAGTTTTCAAATGCTGAATGAAATATTTTCATTCAGTGGATACAAAATTAGTCCACAAAGAGAGTCGGACTATACGTAAATGTTTGTGATAATCCATTTTTTTTAAAAAAAAGCCATGGCTCAATGCTATGGAAGCATGAGACTTGTGGCACTACAAATTCCTTAACCTTGTATCCCCAAATGACAACTCCCAGGATCCTTAGCACTGATCTACAGCAGCTAAAGTGGTATCCAACTTCATTCAATCTACAGTGTAGAGCAGGCGTGGGCAAAGTTCAGCCCTCCGGGTGTTTTGGACTTCAACTCCCACAATTCCTAAGATGCTTGTTTTATATCTTGTTATATATCTTGCTGTTTTAAATTGATGTTATGCATTCTAAATTGATACGTTTTAACAGTTGATTAGGCCTGGCCCCATGTAAGCATGTAGCTATGCTCAGTGACACAAACATGGCCCAAGGTGCAGACCAGGCATGGGCAAACATGGGCCCTTCAGGTGTTTTGGACTCCAACTCCCACCATTCCTAACAGCCTCAGGCCCTTTCCTTTTCCCCTTCGGCTACATAAACATACTATACAGCAGGCATATGCAAACTTGGGTCCTTCAGGTGTTTTGGACTCCAACTCCCACCATTCCTAACAGCCTCAGGCCCTTTCCTTTTCCTCTCAGCCGCTTAAGCGTTGGAGTCCAAAACACCTGAAGGGCCCAAGTTTGCATATGCCTGCTAAATAGTATGCTTATGCGGCCGAAGGGGAAAAGGAAGGGGCCTGAGACTGTTAGGAATGGTGGGTGTTGGAGTCCAAAACACCTGAAGGACCCAAGTTTGCCCATGCCTGGTCTACACGGCTTAAGCGGCTGAGAGGGAAAGGAAGGGGCCTGAGACTTTTAGGAATGGTGGGAATTGGTGTCCAAAACACCTGAAGGGCCCAAGTTTGCACATGCCTGGTCTGCACAGTTCCCTCAGACTTGGGGTGCAGTGTAGAATCAATGCACCACTTTAACTGCCCTGGCTCAATGCTGTGGGATGATGGGATTTGTAATCCGGTGAAGTGTCGGCTCTTTTTTTATTACTGGCAGAAATGGCTACTCTGATTTGGTAAAACTGAGCCACCCAGGCTTCCACAGCATCGAGCCATGGCAGTTCAAGTGATGTCAACCTGACTCCATTCTTCAGTGCAGATGCATCCCAGGCCTGGCTTTCCCGCGGAGGCATCATCCATTCTTGGAGTCTCCTTGAGCATCTAAAAGGCAGGCAAAGCAAAGCAAGGCGAGCAGCCAAAGGCCCTCGCCGCATCGAGCTCCTCCGCCACAGACATCTCCCTCCCTCCCTCCTTGCCGGGCTTCCGGGGCACAGCATCCCTCCCTCGAAGAACAAAAGGTCGAGCCACGCCGGGCATCTACCTGCCTACCTACCGACCCGCGGCCTCAGCTGCCCCTCGGAGCCGACGTGCTGCGGCAAGGACGGGCAGGTGCGGAGAGAGAGGCCTGTGGCGTTGGCCTGCCATCCTCATCCATCCCTCCCACCACACAACGGTACAGCAACCGGCAGCACTCACATTCCTTCCCCGCTTTCACCCCAAACAGTCCCCTCACACCGTTCTCCCCCCCCCCCTTCCCCTTCCACTGGGGCACGTCGCCCTCAGCACAAGGACAAGCGGGGAAAGGAAGGCCCACCGACCTGCCTGACGGCGCCCCTCAGATGAACACCGCCACTCACCGCCGGCTTCGTGGAAGGAAAAGGGAGAGAAAGGCTCCCTCACAGCACAGCGGCTAAGTGGCGGCTGTGTAGTGGCTCGCGCGAGGCCACGCCCCTCCTTCTCGCGCGCCCGGCACCGCCCCCAGCCTCGTGCGAGGCCACGCCCCCTCCCGCCTCGCTTTTCTAGCCTCGAACGAAGCCACGCCCCCAGTCTCCACAGCCTCGCGCGAGGCCACGCCCCTCTCCCGCCTTACGCCTCGAGCGAGGCCCCGCCCCCACCCTCTCAGCCTTGCCATTACCATTGGCTAGTGCCTCTCTCAGGGGGGCCCTTCCTCACAGCCATGTAGCCCAGAATATCAAGGCAGAAAATCCCTCCATATCTGCTTTGAACTGGGTTATCTGAGTCCACACTGCCATATGAGCCTAAAGACATGGTTATTTGAGAAGGCGTTTGACTAAGTGCTACAAGAATTGGCAATAATGATTGGAACGGAATATGGATAACGAGATTGGTTTATGATTCTACGATGAGACGACGCGGATGATTTAGTGTAATTGTATTATTGTATTATTGATAGTTATGTTGATATTCTGTTGTGATATTGCCTTATTGTAAACTGTTTTTATATGTTGTACACCGCCGTGAGTCGCCCTAGGGCTGAGAACAGCGGTCAACAAATGCAGTAAATAACAATAATAATAATAATAATAATAATAATATGTTCCAGTTCAGAGCAAATAACGTGGGATTTTGTATTGTCGAAGACTTTCATGGCTGGCATCACTCAGTTCTTGTGGGTTTTTTCGGGCTATATGGCCATGTTCTAGAGGCATTTCTCCTGACGTTTCGCCTGCATCTATGGCAAGCATCCTCAGAGGTGTGGGATTTTGTTCAGCTGTCTGGAAGGGGCCTCAGGAGTCGGCTTTCCTTCCGAATTTGAGGCCGTTTCCACACAGCTAAATAAAACCCACACTTATCTGCTTTGATAAGGAGCCCCCGGTGGCGCAATGGGTTAAACCCTTGTGCCTTCAGGACTGAAGACAGGTTAGAGATTCGAGAGCGCAGATGAGCTCCTTCTATCAGCTCCAGCTCCCTATGCAGGGACCTGAGAGAAGACTCCCACAAGGATGTGGTGTGGACCTAGATGAAGTCCCTTATTAGTTAGTATAAGTCAGGTGCTTTGTATGTGTGTTTTGTTGTTGTTTATTTGCTCAGTGACTTCCAACTCTTTGTGACCTCATGGACCAGCCCACGCCAGAGCTCCCTGTCGGCCGTCACCACCCCCAGCTCCTTCAAGGTCAAGCCAGTCACTTCAAAGATACCATTCATCCATCTTGCCCTTGGTCGGTCCGTCTTCCTTTGCCCTTCCATTTTCCCCAGCATCATTGTCTTCTCTAAACTTTCCTGTCTTCTCATTATATGACCAAAATACTTCATCTTGGCCTCTAATATCCTTCCCTCCAATGAGCAGTCAGGCTTTATTTCCTGGCAAAACATCAAATATCCCCTGTGTAACATCTTTGCAGACGCCCAATTCTCTCACACCAGAAGCGACTTGCAGTTTCTCAAGTCGCACCTGACTATTAAAAAAAGGCCTCCTGCCAGGCCACGCCTCTCTCCCGCCTCATAGGCCTCGACCCACCAGCCCCTCAGCCTCGCGCCAGGCCACGCCCCTCTCCCGCCTCATAGGCCTCGCCTTTCCAGCCTCGCGCCAGGTCACGCCCCTCTCTAGCGTCATACGCCTCGCCTTTCCGGCCTCGCGCAAGGCTACGCCTTTCTTCCGCCTCAGGCCTCGACCCCCACCCGCTTCGCGCCAGGCCACGCCCCTAAGCCGGTCTTTGCTTTCTGCTTCTGCATCGCCGCGAGTGTGCCTGACCAGGCCACGCCACGCCACGCCACACCCCCTCCCCTTCCCTTTGGAATGCCTCTTTTGGGTTTAAAGCCTCCCCAGGCCCCGCCTCTCCCCATGCGGAGAAGGAAGGAGAGAGCATCCCCTGGACCAGCAACGGCTACATGGAAAAGGAGTCCTGCTGCATACGGAATAGAGCGACCATTCCTTCTGTGTATGTATGGTAGTAGTAGACGATATGCGAGGGGTCACAGCTATGGAAGGCCTCCCTCCTCCTCCTCTTCGGGTGCGTCTTCACTGCAGAATGGATGCTGCTTGACACCACTTTAACTGATAGGACTCAGTATTATGGAATCCTAGGGGTCGTGGTTTGGAGAGGAACCAACACTCTGGCAGAGAAGGCTAAAGGCCTTGTAAAAATTCCAACTCCCAGGATTCCATAGCATTGAGCTGTGGCAGTTAAAGTTGTATCAAGTCTTGGTTCCATGTCAAGAGGATTTATTTATTTAGGGCTTTCATATCCCGTCCTTTCTCAACCTCCGCAGAGGGACTCAGGACGGCTAACAAAGCGGCACCCCATGGCGCCCACATCAAAACATAAATATACAATTAACAGCAATGTAATAATAACAACAATATAAAACCGTATAAACAATATAAAAACAGACAACAAATAGTCAGTGGTCACTGATTTAAATCATTATCCAAGGGCAGTCCATCAGTTCTAAATAAGTCAACACATCAGTAGGTCAGCCTATTCTCCAAAGGCCTGATCCCATAGCCAGGATTTTACTTGTTTCCGGAAGGTCAAGAGGGATGCAGCAGATGTAATTTTGCTCAGGAGGGAGTTCCATAGCCGGGGGGCCACCACAGAAAAGGCCCTGTCCCTTGTCCCCGCCAAACACAATTGTGACAATGGGGAGACAATGAGCAGGGTCTCCCCAGATGATCTTAGGGCCCTAGGTGGATCGTAGCGGGAAATACGTTCAGACAAGTAAACTGGACCAGAACTCTTAAGGGCTTTATAGGCCAAAGCCAGCATTTTGAATTGTGCTCGGAAGCTGATAGGCAGCTAGTGGAGCTGACATAACAAGGGCGTTGTGCGCTCCCTGTACCCAGCCCCAGTGAGCAGCCAGGCTGCTGAACGTTGGACTAGTTGAAGCTTTTGGGCAGTGTTCAGAGGCAATCCCACATAGAGTGTGTTGCAGTAGTCTATTTGGGATGTAACAACAGCATGGACCACCGTGGCCTATGTCATCAGTTGGGAGCCCCTCCCCTCAGCACCAACTGCTCCTCTGGGCCAGAGTGAAGAGAGAGGGGTCCAGGAAGACAGTTCCACCTTGTCTCCTGTGCTGTGCTAATAATATAATACATTGTATATACATATAATATTTATAATATTATAATATAATACCAGAGCCTCCAGTGGTGCAGTGGATTAAATCCCTGTGCCGGTAAGACTGAAGACTGATAGGTCACAGGTTCGAATATGGGGAGAGCACAGATGAGCTCCCTCTCTCAGCTCCAGCTCCTCATGCAGGGACATGAGAGAAGCCTCTCATAAGGATGGTAAAACATCAAACATCCAGGTGTCCCCTGGCAACATCCTTGCAGATGGCCAATTCTCTCACACCAGAAGCAACTTGCAGTTTCTCAAGTCGCTCTTGACACAACAAAAAAAAAAAAACAAAATTGGAACATCAGCCTTAGCCTTGTCTTACTCAACTGCTGAGTATGCCTGCCCTGTTTGGCATAGGTCTGTCCATACAAAGCAGGTGAACATAGCATTGAATGAAACATGCAGAATAATCACAGGATGTCTTAAACCTACACCTGTTGATAAACTCTACAAGCTAGCTGGCATTCCCCCCCCCCCCCATGTGCGATGGGAAGTTGCTGCTAAATGTGAGAGAAATAAGGTTGAACACTGTAAAACCATCCACTACACGGCCTCCTCCCAGTAGACTCAAATAAAGGAAAAGCTTTATGAGAACTACCACTCCTCTTGGCATCCCCCCAGCAACAGCAAGGGTATCCCTCTGGGCAGCTAAACCAGGAAATCCCAACTGGATGGCCCCCCACGAGGGTCTTCCTCCAGGGGCAAACCAAGAATGGGCAACTTGGAAGTCCCTGAACAGACTCAGAAGTGGAGTGGGCAGATCAAAAGACAACCTGGCAAAATGGCACTACCTAAAAGAATCCCACACCTTGTGTGACTGTGGAGCAGAACAGACAACTCCGCATCTGTATGCTTGTCCACTATGCCCTGCCTCATGTATAGAGGAAGAATTGTTGGAGGCTACAGACAATGCCATTGCTGTTGCCCGTTTTTGGTCAAAAGATATTTAGCCACCTGCACTCCTATTTTTATCGGTTTTATGCTAATTTATGCAATGCTTTTGATATGAAATAAAAATGCTAATAATAATACAATATAATCATATTTTATATTACATGTAATATTACTAATAATACTGTATTACAATATTATCGTATAGTACAATATAGTAATACATAATGCTGATATTGTGCTATGCCAATAATATAATATATTGTATGTATATATATCTTGTAAGCCGTTCTGAGTCCCCTTCAGGTTGAGAAGGACAGCATATAAATGTCATAAATAAATAAATTATTCCCCAACCTTTACACTGTTTCTTAATGCGAACTACTTTGCCTTTATCAAGAGATAAATGCAGGATACAAATAAATATAACAATAATGAGTCACGTACTTTATTAGCCCAGCCTCTCTACTTGCAGTAGTGGGAGTTGCCATCTTTTGGGGCTGCATCAGCATTGTGGAATTAATGCAGTTTGACGCCAGTTTATACACCATAGCTCAGTGCTGTGGAATCAAGGGGTTTGTAGTTTTACAGGGTCTTTAGCCCACTTTGCTAAAGAGCACTGGGTGCCTTACCAAACTACAATTCCCAGGATTCCACAGCACTGAGCCATGGCATCTAAACTGATGTCAATAGTTTATTTGGAGGGGGTCAAAGACGGAAGGGGGGCACAAAAGCATCAAGATTTTACAGCAATGCCAAAAGAAATTGGATAGAATCTGGAAGAATACCCAAAATAAATCATGACTAATCCTGCCAAAACCAATTGTTAGGAAAAAGCTTTCAAGCGAGGACTTGGGTACATCAGCACCTCTCAGTTGTGCTCCCCACTGTCTGATATTGGAGTTAGTGCACAGCTCTCATGAATAATGATCTAGAAGCCTCATTAGTCCTACCAAAGAGATTTACTTGAGAGTCCTAATGTAAGTTC